CAATAAAACACATGAACACAAGACATAAAGTATAAATACAACACTTAAACACTGTTCCTAGGGATAGGTGATACCAGCTTTTTTCATTCGATACGATATTTACTCGATATTTGCCAATTTTTTTTCGATATCGATATTTTCTCAACTCGAACAACCACAACAACAACAAAAGACTATTTTCATCTCTTCAACGCCAAAATCATGCTGGTTGAATATGTTTTCAACATGTTTATTTTTCATGATTGTAACTAACATAACTACAAACTTTGATGCTGGCCGTGGACCATTAAGCACCATAGAAAATGAACTACTTTGATACTATGTATGCCTATTTAGCCTTTTTGGTGTCATTTTCATGATGAGTCTGCTGACCAAAATGAAAAATATAGCAGGCTCAGAAGTATCAAAACAATCGATATTTCTTGCCAGTATCGATACTCTTCTTCAAAACCCTGGTATCGATAGTATTGAGTATTTGGTATTGATATCGGCCCATCCCTATCTGTTCCTACAACGATTTGATAACATATAAAGAATGAAGAAAGTTTTACACTGACACTACATGCGGTTCTTCGTCTACTTTGCGTAACCAAAGCAAATAATAACAAGCAAATTGTCATATATCTCAGCCAAGAGACAAGAGTTGAATGCACCACTTACCACAGTTGCCCTCCTCTTGTTCACCGGTCGCCACTCCCCAGCGCCGTCATAGGCTGGATCGATATCGCAAATACCGAATACCGATATACCACCATCAGAATACCGGTAAATACCGGTATTTCGGTATTTTTAATGTGTTTTTTTTTAAGCCAAACTGAAGTGCTGACCGTCAAGAAAAATCAAGTTTTGACAAAATATTAATGTGGCACATACTGTTATCAGTGCAAATGTCACAAGATTCTAGCCGGTTGGGCATCGAAGTGTTGAATCATTCAGAAAAATATTCATTTTATATATAAATTCAGATAGTGTTTCAGTAAGCTGCTAATAGTTAAACATAAAAAACGTTGCATTTTTAAAACTAACACATAAACAAGTTAGCAAGCATGTAAAAAAACTTGAAAAGCCAGAAAAGGTTTTCGATGCTTCGCAAATGCTAGTACTTCCACCTTCCAAAATCAAAGTTTTCTTTTTTAGCGAAATTTTCCTTTAAAAATTTCGCCATTTTTATATTTCCAATTAAGGCGATTTAATAAACAAGACGTCTGGTATTGCTAAACCAAAGCCGCTAGAACTGTAAGAACAAAATCATGCATCTGTGAGTATTAACTTTGCTTTCTAAACGTGATTGTAAGCAAGTTTGACTTTTGAAAGAGCGTTTCATTTCGGTATTAGGCAGCAAAATACCGAAATGTCGGTATATCGGTATTTTTAAATTGTCAATATCACCAAACCAGTATCTAGACAAATACCGGTATATCGGATATATCCGGTATATTGATCCAGCCTATGCCGTCAATGTGTTGACCAGACTTTTTCGGTTGCTTTTCTTCAGCAGAGTATCAACACATTTGCCCACGCAACAAGTATATCACTGTCAAAACAACAGACAGCACTTAACAGGCTTACTTTACTAAGTATGTAATATACCAAACAATGTACATGCTTGCATGCATGCAAAGAAAGCACTGTTTTAAATAGTTAGTGAATGTTTAAACATGATTAAAAACTATAGTAAACATGATTAAAAATGTCACGAGGAAATATATTTTTAAAAACACAAAGTAAAAGTAAAATATCTTACCTTGGTAAACAGTCAAACAGATACAATGTGTGCCATTATACTTTGTGCTTTAGGTCTTCGCTTTCTAAGTTAGCAAAATGTTGCCTTTTTTTGTAACAGTTCTTCAGCTTTTCAAGACGTTCAAAATTAAATATTGTTTGTATTTTGTCTTTTAAACTCCCACACAATCCACACAAACTGTGAAAATTAACTATCCAGTAATAGAGAAACACAGGTTTTTGTTTCTCTATAACTATCCAGTTATAGAGAAACACAGGTTTTTTTAGCTTTTGACCAATCAGTGCCCATGTTTTTAAAAGGCTATTTTATAATTATCATTAATAAACTCATTAATAATTCATGAAGAAAACACAAAGAAAAATCATAAGCGTGTCATATCTGTATGTGATACAGATTTATGTTGATTTACATAAATTTTAACTTTGATTTTCTCGGCTTTGACAACGTTTATTTTTAAAATTACTTCGCCAATGAACTCATAAGCTGAGTCGTTTTTTAAGTTGTTTACAACATTCGCGTCGTGTTGTATCAGATATACAAACTCTCGCCTTCGGCTCGAGTTTGTATATCTGATACAACATGGCCGCTCATGTTGTAAACATTACATACTCAATAGCTCATTGTTTATTGTCAGAGGTTTATTGTTGTATGTATCCGGTTTATTATTAACTGTCAAATTTCATATAACACTAGGCTCATCAACATTGTTTCCATGAGGGGTGTCAATATATACAAAGTAACATATTTACAAAAATAACAAAAAGGATTTAATAAAGGACAAAGGTGTGACCCTATCTAATTAATATTCAATTTAAAAACATATTCTGATTGGGCTGATTTGCTTCCCAAGAAAGGCTATTCCAAAGTTTTGCGCCCCTATATTTGAAACTTTTTAAAGGAATTCCCTTTTCAGAATTGGTAATGCTAAATCAGTAAATCTATTTCTAAGATTGTAAGATCCTTGCAATGCACTATTCATAGTGAACAAAATTTTCAAATTTGGTGCAGTATAATTACTCAAAATTCTATATATTAAATTGATTTATTCTGTTTTCATCTTTCCTGCAAAGTTACCCAACCAAGAGATTCAAGAACGTCAGCCGAATTAACTTAATTTGCGCCGGCAATTACCCTTGCCATGATTTTGAAATTTTTGAAGTTTATTTTTTAAGAAGGACAACAATTTCCGCATAAAGGAGAGCAATAATCAAAATATGGCTGTATCAAGGCATTATAAATAATTTGCAAAGTATTATTAGGATGCTTTCTTGATGTATGAACAACCGAAATACCTTCCTTGGCCTTCCCTAGTCTTCCTTGGCCTTCCCTAGCCCTTCCCTAGCCTTCCTTAAAGTGTGATTTGAGAACAGGCCACAGTTCGTTTTTCATTCCAATTTTCTCAATGATCTCATAAAAAAAGAAAAGTTTCTTCTCAAACGACGAGGATTTAATTTCATTTTGTTATAGCCAATTTAGATTATTGTCTGTTGCCATGTTATCTGTGACAAGTCCATGCATGCATGTTGTCGGTTTTTCGTTTGGTTTTTGGAAGCACCACGTAAGAATACGTAAGTTCAAATTTGCACACATTAGTTGTCATGCTATACAAAACCACAAGGAAGTTCATGTTGGCTTTTGAACAGGTGTATTTGGCAAGGTTGAAATACTGTTAAATTGTATACAGATAAGCAAAGAAAATTTGACAAGTAATTTAATTAAGCGTGTGCATGGCCTTTCAGTTGTGACATCCGTGTGTAAATGATCTATATAAGAAATACATAGCACCAAATAAGTTAACAGACATCACCCCCGACAATATATCAAACAAGTTCATATATAAAGCCTTACCTTTAACATACTATACAATAGCAAAGCATAGTTTTTGTTTGATCTCATGGCTGCAGATGTATTGTTAGTTCTTCTGTGAAATGAACTACCTCATTGAACAGTTTGTCTTCTTGATGCCCAGTGAAATCGTCCCTGAATCACTTGTTGGCATTACTTTTTTCATATCCACTTGAAGGGCCAAGCTTTTCTTAAGGGACCCTTCTTTTGTTTGTAATTTTTATATGGTATAACGACAATCCTAGAGAATATGCTAAACGACAAAACAAAATACAAAATGCTACTAAATATATGTGCAGAGGACTAAATATAAAAACCACTTCACTGTGCATAGTTTCGAATCATGCAATATGACAGTGTTATTTACTGCAACATCCTTTCCTTATCATTTGCCAGCACTCTTGCAATTGTCGATGGATTATTGTGCAAATTGGAACCGTCCTCGGGGTGGCGGCACAACTGTCCTTTCCTCCTTTTTCCGTTTGGACTAAAAAGGTTATATGGATCAAAGTTTTCATTTTTCATCCATATACCAAGTCATAAAAATTTATTATACTGCTGGATTGTATGAAATGAACTTGGTATAATGGTAATTTATCCCTTACCTTGTTGAAAGCATCAACAGTAACTTTTCCTAATACGGACATATCTGCAACATCGTCCCACCAGAATGGCAAGCTCTGATGACTTAATGTCGCCATGGCACCCACATGTGAGCAATCTAAAACGGTAGAATGTACAAATTGAAAAAGAATGGTAAAATACTAAATTAAAATAGCTGTATTGCGTATCTATTTTTACCTCCAGTTTTGTTTTCATCTTGTCCAATTACAGCCATCACTGCTTTCACTGCAGTAAACTTTGCTGACACTGGATGACCATATGCCATGATCAATGGGACTCCATCATACATAGTGGACAACTGTTCATAATGCACGGCCAGTACAAGTCCACCAAGCAGAAGTAAATTGGAGGGAAAGTTTACACCAACATATTTTTTTTTATTTTTGCAGGCTTGGCACCCTGATCCAAATTGTCTATTAATAATTCTTCTTCCTTCATAACACCGAGAAAATGGGTGATCAGTGATTATCCTCTATTGAATTGTACCACAGAAATCTATTCCCCAGGGGGTTGCCACGAAATTGCTTTTCTAAGGCCTTTTCCGCACAACGGCCCACAGCCAATAAAGTTTACAGGTGCGTCACCCCCCAAAAAAATGCAACCAGTCAGCAAAAGTCGGCAAATTTATGTCTGTACGAATTGGCAAATCGGCATACATGTGAACTAGGAAAATGGAAAAAGATTAAAAATTATGAAAACATTTAAAGCATGACTGACACACATGTATCTGTACTAAAATGAAATAATCTCCCCTACCTTGCCTGTCTAGCTCATTTTCTCGGCAAACATGCAATCAACAGCGAAAACAGCAAGCTATTGTAATCTTATCTCTTATGTGAGTCAAATTTGAAACCCGTGTTTTCAAGCAACTACAAAGCATGCTGTCTGTTTCGACTGCTTTCATCATTAAACATAAGCAGCTCAAAACTGAAAAGAAAGAGAATAAAACTAGAGCGTCTGTATTGTCATTCGGTTTTTGATGATGATTACCACAAAAGACACGAACAGACTTGCCACCAAGGAAAGCGAGTGCGAGTAGCGCATAAAGACTCACCAGCTAATCCATTCCAAGCAGCCGCTGCAAATGTGAATAAATCAAAGTCGATTCAATCTGGCGAAAAGGTACAAATCAGTAAAGAAAATGCCGAGAACCAGAAATACGTCAGGGATGCATTTTGCGGAAAAGAAGGGGAAGATGGTAAGTCGATTAATGGTTCAGCTTATTTTTTAGTGCTTCGCAGGTATCGCAGCTTTAATAACAGCTGTTGCATCAGCCACTTGCCACTTGGTGTGTGCCACGGAGGTGTGAATCCAAGATCGTCTTTCGGTTCTCGAAACACACTTGTTATAGCGTGCTATATTTAGGAACGTTTACTCAAGTTTTTTAAGTTTTAGCAGCAATCTTACTCGCTAAATTTAGATAATCTTTTATTATATAGCATTTTGTATTAGTATTTTGTAGTAATCTCTGCCTGAGTAAAAAAGCCATTATATAATGACAGTAATGTTGAGTCGTAATGTTGCACTTGCCACAGCGTTCTGTTAAGCGAGTGTAAAAATATATTCCCTATTCTTGCTTTCCAAAACGAAATTGATGGATACTTCACGTTTCTAGCGGGTATGCAGGGTGCGAAGGGATGGATCGATAACACGGGTAGTTCTGGGCGCGGACTAACGATGTGTGATGTGTCCACTACTCGATGAGTGAGCAGAAAGTTTGGTCACCTTCGACTAGTGAGCAGGAAGTTCAGACACTTCAGGCAAACACAAATTGGCTATGAATTCATTATTTAATAAAACTTTTTCGTAGGTCATGCCCAATTCCATCCACAAAAAAGCGACATAACTGATGCACAGACGTCCTATACAAGCCAAGAGCCAAAGTCGCCAATCTCAGTTAGCTCTATAGGAACACTAGATTTAGACCCCAATGAGAAAATTAACAATTTTTCCCAATCTGAAGTGGTACCATGCGACTGTTTTGGTGACCTTGTCGAAGACGAACTCCGTACCACATCCTTAAATCAGGAAGATTTCAATTCTGAAAATTCAAATTCTGACACTGAAGATTCAGTTACCGAAACTATTAAAGATTCAGTCTCCGAGTCTCAGAAATCAAATTGGATCGAATCTGTTGCAAGTCTGTCTTGTATCAGCAGTTTAATGTATGGTTGTCAAGAAATGGTAAATGATGCAAGAACATCAGACATTCCTAATGTTGAACAATGGATTGTAGGTGCACAGGACACTATCAAACAGGTACAAGAAAGCTGCGTTAGATTTCTGAAAAACACTGACAGCTTACTTCATCAAATCCAAATGAAGAAACCCAAAGTTAACAGACGCAAGCTCTTCTCAGGTGTCTGTAGAGCATGATCCAGGCTTACACGGTGAGGTGCGCGGAGAAAACCAAAAGGAGTACCTGATTGAACATTTTCAGCCAAAGTTGTCTTGTTTCCTAGCCAATCAAGATATACCTCAGGGGAAACAGGATCGCCACTATGGTATAACAAGTACCCAGACTTAGAATACAGTATCAAGAAAGATGCTGTGTTTTGTTTCGTATGCACGCTATTCCACGACGCGCCCTCAAAAGAGAAGGCAGACCCAAGCTGGATAAGTACGGGAGTAAGAAAATGGCACAAGATGAAGAGCGTTGGAAAGAACAAACAAGGAAAACTGGCTCAACACTTCTCGTTGCAAAGTCACAAGGCTTCTCTAGCAGCATACTGTCACTTTTTAAAGAAGACGGAACATGTGGACATCCAACTGGATAAAGCTAAAAGGGCCACACAAATCCAGGAAGCCGAAGACCTTGAATGCAACCATAAAGTAATCCACATCCTTTTGGACATCGCAAGAACACTTGCCCGGCAAGCTCTTCCATTCAGGGGTGACAGTAATGAAGAAGGCAACTTTTACCAGTTGGTCCTAGTGGTTAGTAGACATGTCCCAAGTCTTCGTCGGTGGATAACTGACAAAAGGATGAATCCCTACCACGCCACCTATTTGAGTGCTCAGTCGCAGAAAGAGTTCATCACTTTTCTCGAAGCAGAACTGAGAGAAAAATTTTGCAGGGATGATTTCTGAAAAATTTTTAAAGAGTGCAGGGATGCTTTCTGTGATGACAGACGCAACTCCTGACGAAGAACACACGGACAGACGTTCTGTTGTTCTAAATATAGTAACACGCTATAAATATACCACCTTTTACAAAATATTATAACTTTACAAAATATTGAATAAATTGTTTGAAATTATACATTAAGATGACTTGAAAACCGCCTACAGTTCAACAAAATATAAATTCACACCCTGCAACAAAAATCAACCTTTAGTAGCACCATAGCAATGATCAGAAATAGTAGCGCCGTAGCAATGATCTTTGATCAGTTGAAATTTGTAGAGGTTGAGGTCGCGATGATCAAAATTTGTAATAATTGTCAAAATCAACAGTAATTGGAAATCTTATTTGGAAACTTTGGAAATTTTGGAAATTGGAATTTATTGAAAACCTTAACACAATCTTCAACGTTTAAGTAACACAAATAAAGTTTGCAGACCGAATTTAAAAAATTGATATTGATCGGATAAATACAAAAATTTAAAAAGATATAACAGAAATTCAAATGCACAATTTATAGCCGTACAGTATGTTGTCCAATTTTCGGACAGTAAAGTGTTTTCACACTAGATTTTAAGATGATTAGCAGGTTCAAATTTGTACAGATGACAACCACTTCCCATTGCTACATTAACTCTAAGAGATACATAGCTAAAGTTCTTTGGTTTTTGGTCCGTCAGAGTTGTACACTCCTTTAGCCAAATGTAGTCTGACCCGTAATTGTATAGTTTTGAATATTTATTATACAAGCTGATATTGATACTTGTACTGAATACTATTCGATCTATTAAAGTTATATACAAAATAATTATAAGTAAAGAGTAATAATATAAATATACTTTTATACATGCCACAAATTCATATAGCAAATCATTGAGTTCTATAAATGTCACTTACTTCTTTGGCAGTTCACTAGGACTACATTCAAACAGTTCAGAATACAGGTTAGCAGAAAAAACAAAATACAATATTATAACAAGTTAGCCTTTTCACGTTTTCAGTAGGTCCTTTCAACCACAGTTCCTTATCTCAATTAATAATGATCTTGAACATGCAATATTGTAAATGTGAAAACTGACAAGACATGTCATTGTCACTAAACTAATTTAAACTAACAGAACTAATATATTAAAAAGTACGTAAATTAATTATGCAATTGTTACGTCCTGAGTGTCTAACGAAACAGTTTTTCTGTAATATCGAAAACAGTTAGTTCATTTTCATCACCATATTTCGGACAGCTGGCCAGCTATTAGGACACTTATAATAATGACCGTTTTTCTCTCGAAGGCAAGCTGTATTTTGATATATACTGGAATTTAAGGCTTGATTATGATTTAACAAATATAAAACATTTTCCGTGTTGATATACAGTTATATCAACACAAGTGGAATTGGGAAAACGAGAAATTGTATGGACACACGACGCCCGAAGGGCGGAGTGTTTTCATACAATTTCTCGTTTTCCCAACTTCCACGAGTGTTGATATAACTACATATCAATACGCAAAAAATGTTTTATATTTTTTTTATAATATAGCGATGTCAAAAGTCCGAAGCATAAGAAAAATTTCCGTGTTTACAAGCGGCGGAAAATTTCCCGTGTTGACATTGAGTTATATCAACACGGCTCTTAGCCAATCAGCGTTCAGAATTTACAAATGCTATATTATAAATAGAATTAAATGTCAGAATTCTTTAACTATTAAGTTGCAGACTGTTGCAATATTGGCACTCCCCAAGTTGTAAGGAAAATGGCAAATTTTAGTTACGGTCAACTTCTGTCAACTGCTTTTACAAAAATACCTATATCTCAAGATCAATGTCATAAAAAACGTTGAAATTTGGCAGTGGATTAAAATGATAAATGATTAATCAATTTTATTTGAGCTCCCACACTTAAATATATCATTAGATTTTTGGGTGAGAATTCTTGGTTTGTGCAAATTTAAGTCCCTGACATTTTGTTTCTTCATGATACCCAACATCTGAAGGGCAATAATTCCATAACCCAACATAAATGGCCAAATATTTTTTGACTCCTGGATTGATACACATTTACATTCAAATTAGTAGGATGTAAATTACAAAATAATCAAATGCTATAAAAATTTGCTTGGCCATAGCTCGGGCACACTCAGGACCATGGCTTCCACTTGCAGGGAAATTTCCCTGCAAAAGGAAATTTTGGCCTGTGCAGGGAAAAGGGCAAGGAAATCAAATTTACCAGGAAATGGCAAGGAAATTTGAGCCTGGACAAGGAAATTGCGAGGAAATCTTGAAAATTGTTTATATCAGAAATAGAATTGAATTGAAAGTTGAAATATATTTGCAATAATTATTATTTGTGAATTCTGATGCAAATATAAAACTTGTTGACATGAACGTGGATGATTATTCCTCGTCAGAAAGAGAATCTGAAAGTGAAACCAGTGAAAATCAAGAAAGTGCTACTACCAGTACGGTCACGTCGACGTCTTGTCCATCTCCTAAAAAACGAAAGTGACCAAAACAAACTCAATCTTTTGTGGATAGCTGGTTGACAGAACAACAATTTAGCAGCTGGCTTACCAAGCGACTTGGAACTGACAGAAAGCCCAACCATTTTGCAAGACATGCAATAGATTTGTGACTTACACGAAAACAGGTTTAAAACGTCACTTAGTCAGCAAGTCTCACCAGACCAAATATGCAACAAGTACTGCCAGCTGTTCGACTATTACCAGTCTGTTTAACAGGGCCACAAACCGAGATGAAACAAGTTCGATGGAAATTAAACTGTGTGCATTCATTGCAGAGCACAACCTGCCACTTTCTCTCGCAGATGATTTAGTGAAATTTATTCGATCGCTCTTTCCGCTTAACCAGACTTTAAGAAATGTAATGCTTGGTAAACAAAAAGCGACCAACGTTGTCCGACAGTTTCGACTATTTACATGAAGCAATTTCAGCGCTGCGATCCCATAGTTACAGCTTGATAATCGACGAAACAACGGACTTGAGCACCGCAAAACAACTTGCTGTATTAACCACTTACTTTGACATGCAAAGTTTTGAGTACAAGTCGTTTTTGCTTGACATGCCAGAAATTGTAGATGGAACGGCCGAAGGAATTTATTCGGCTGTAAAGCACGTGTTTGCCGAACTGCACATTCCTATGGAAAAAATTATTGGCTACTCAACCGATACGACCAATGTTATGTTTGGAGAATTCAACTCCGTCTCTCAGCTCTTAATGTCAGAGTACCCAAACGTTTATTCTGTTAAATGTTCATTTGGTATCGTCTTATGCCGCTCTGAAATTGCCAAAAGGATTAGAAGATTTGGTTCGCGACATATATAACCACTTTCATCGCTCATCCAAGAGACAAGAAGTCTACCAGCAGTTCCAGAAATTCTATGACGCAGAGCCCCGCAAACTGCTCTCGCCCGGGCAAACTCGCTGGCTTTCATTAGAAGCGTGTGTGAACCGCATTTTAGAGAGCAGTACCTGGCCTTGGAGCATTACTTTGTTCTTGTTGCAAATGAAGACCCAACACACTCGAACGATCGTATTCTCAAGTCGCTTCAAAATAAGTTCACCCTCGCCTACCTTGAATTCCTTAGCCACCAGCTTCAACGTTTTAATGCTTTCAATCGTCTCTTTCAAAGCGAAAGGCCCCTTTTACACAACCTCAGAGAAGAAGTTGAAGGGCTAATAAAATCAATTGCAAGCGATTTTATGTCCATTGCGTATGTCAAGCAAGCCAAGCCAAAAAAAATCGATCCAACAAGAGCCGGACATCACATACCACTGCATCAAGTTTATGTTGGTGTTGCAGCCACTGCTACTATGCATGAGATAAAAACAGGTGCAAAACAGGAGGACGTACAGAAATTTCGAAGCGACTGCAGGAATTTTCTTATCGAAAGCATCCTCCAAATCAAGCAAAGATTTGATTTAGAAGCAGAAATACATGACATTGTTTCATGTATTGCACCAGGGAATGCGGCTGCTTGTGTCTCACCGTCTTTGGTTCAAATCATCCAGAAGTTACCTTATCTAAATGAGATCCTGGATACTGCGAAACTTGATCTGGAATGGAGAGAACGGAGAGATTTGAAGATGATCTAAAACCTGATCTTTATTGGGATGAATATTGGAAGATTGTTAAAGATGCCAAAACCCCTACAAGAGAGCCCAAGTATCCAAATCTCACCAAATTTGTTGAAATTCTTGCCTCGTTTCCATTGTCCAACGCACCTGTCGAGAGAGTTTTTAGCATACTGAAGCGAATCAAAACCGAGCACCGCACATCTCTAAAGTTGTCATCATTAGTGGCGTTACTTCAATGTAGAATGGCAATGAAGAATGACAAGTTAACGTCTGCGCGTTTGAAACCAAGCCAAAGAGCTTTGGATCTTGCAGATAAAATGAAAGCAAGTGCCACTGATGAAAAAGCCAAAGAGCCAAGAAAGAAATTTCTTGATGAATTATTCAGTGAAGAGAACGTTTGAATTCAGAGTTCAGAATGACTAACTGACTAAAGAACATAACTTATGTGGGTTACCAGTGAACTATGTAACAGTCTTAAGTTCCTTCAGCTAAGCGATATTTGAAAGGATGTTTTAGCGATGTTTTACTACTGAAAAGTAGTAGTTTTGTAAATATACAGTTCATATTTAATTTAATTTGATAATTTAAATATATTATCAGATATATCGGTCATTCGGTGATAATAATTTAGAAAGTTTGTCATCGTAAGCACAGGAGTACGGAAAGTCGGAAAACTCCTCTGATCGCGCGAAAATGGGCACTCCTAAAGCCATGTGGTCTTTACTCGTGCAATAGAGTACAGAAAATCGGTTATTTTTTAGGATATTTGCAAGGAATTTGCAAGGAAATTAGGTGATTTTGGCAGGGAAATTTTTTCCAGAAAAAAGGATTTTTCAGCATCTTAACAGGAAATTTGGCAAATCCATTGTGGAAGCCCTGATCAGGACATCTAGTTTACAATGGAGAACTTGAACTTCAGAACTTGCTGTTCAAGTCCAAAAACTCTGTAACCCAAAAACGCTGTGTTTGTACCTCTTTGAAGTTTTTAAATACCTCAAATATGTTTGGAAAAACTCAAAGTACAAAAATTACTAATTAAAATATAAACAAAGGATGAAAAAGGTGAGAAAATATTTGAGGTGTTTTTAATTCAGACTTTGTTTGACAGCCGGCATTTTCAAACGCAGTGTGCGGTGACAAAACAAAAGACTTTTTATTTCGCTATTAAGAGCACTGAAAGTCGTCAAAAAGAGAGAAACATTTTGAATATTCATCTGGTAAGAATTTTAACTGAAATTCCTTTTGTTTCTGTTGAGAAAACAACAGATTTGTGGCCAAAATGTTGTGCGCGCCAATGTAGTTTGCTGTAAAATGTCAGACAGGCGGTTTCTTTTGAAATCTGACTCTAGTTTGAAATAAGTCCTTTACAAGGACCAATTTTATAAAAATATAATATGTATGCTCAAATAAAATGAATAATCTAATATTTAGGCATTTTAGATTGCTATAAAAGAGTGAAATAAAGTATTTCATCTTTGGTTGTTTGTCATACAAGAGAAAACACATTGGTGACACTTTGTTGTGCATGCAGTTTTCAAAAGATAAACTGCTAAAAATACTTTTATTTCACCAAATAGCAAAGTATCTTGCAGATATTATTAAAAGAGTTGAAGCGAAGTAATTCCATGATAAATAAGTGAACAATGAGACCAAAAAAGCGACTAAATTACAATTTGGGAAAGTACCATTGCCAACTATTTCGGACATTGAGTCGGCAGTGCGCCAGCGGATACCCCCGTAAAAGTCAATATATTTTAGGCAACAAAATCTATAAAATACATAGGAGTCAAACTAAAAACATCGAATTGACAAAAAGATATTTCGATTATTTTATTTGCCAAAATGGAGTTACTTTCTTACATTGCATATAAACGGCACTGTCGAAAAAAATAACAGTTAAAACATTATTAAGTTGTTCCTTTCGAGATTCACCATCTGAACGCTTTACTTCTATAGACTTGTATACTAACTCGGCCAAAATCTGCTCGATTACCGAGTTTCATTGTTCAATTTTTAGATTTCTGTGACTGCTATGTGATTTGCCAAAATGGAACACCAACCTTGAGGATCCTCGCTAGCTGCTCACAAAAATTGGGCACTTAAAACAGTGGATAAGTTTTTCCCATTTACCATCAAATATCATGAATTTTCGTAGACACTTAGAAAATTTTGCGCTGTTAATATTTGGTTGCATCGCCGCAAATTTTAGTGCGTTTAAAAGCTAAACTGAAGGCAAAATATCACTCGGAGTAGGTTGTACTTGGTACCAAAATGATCGCCACGATGTGTATTTTTCAACCCTGAAAACGCGTCTGGGATACACGAAACACAATCCGTGCTGCCAGCGGTAGAAGTTGAATCGTTTGGCTGTTGCCAGACTAAAAGGTCAACCAAAGATCAACCGTATTAAATAACTTCAAACTCGACGAACTATTGTAATGTTTCCTGTGCTTAAAACCATTTATTTTGACAATAACGACTATTCGAGCGTCTAAATTAAAAGTTTAACCCATAGGCGAAACACTTATGTGTTTCTTATAGAACTGGCTCATTCCCATTTGATCATTTCAAAACATTGCAAAACATTCATGTTACGCATTTCAGGGAGCTTCCGCTGGATAGCAGGATTGACATAAGACCGCAATAGTTGGTGATGATTAATTAATGGCTTCCTGCAAAAGAGGCCATTTCAGAGAAGAACGGCATTTTGTAAACTACTGTCCTGACCTATTTTAGAACTTTTCCTTCAGGTAATCGATGAGTACTTCTTAGAAAATGAGCATGCATTAATTTTATGATATGCTTTATTGATTTAAAAATTTTGTGGGGATATATGAAGCAATAAAGAGTATTTTGGAAGCTTTTCAAATCCCTGTCATGAAGGTTCAGAATTTGCATGCGCCAAGTAACAGTATAATTCAATACACTGATTTTAAACCACATTATCTCTGAAATGAGAGCTCGTTTCAAGACAAAGTTTATAGAAACAGATATAGTATTCATTGTAGAATATTCTACTTAGTTTTAATGCAGTTTTACTCGAAATTTTTATTGCCAAAAATGTATATACACACATGACAAATTGAACCTACTGTCTTCTGAAAGTACTTTGGCTAAAATAACAACTTTGAGCAAGCAGAGCAACAGTAGGGTCACGAAAACAGTCGAAATCATGCCACGAAAAGTTCTTCTAAAAACTTAGTTTAAACTAGATTGAACTTGTTTTAAACTAGATTGAACTTGTTTTAATGCTATACAGTATGTGGCCCAGTTTCGGGTCAGTACCAGTAGCGGGTCAATAGAAATTTGATTTCATTTTTTTCCACCGAGATAAAAAGCGACGCGAAATGAAATATATAGATATAATGGTGAACCTTTCCTTTTTTGGATGATAGTTTTCGCAG